CACTACTGTTTCCATCTGGAAGGCTGCACCATTTCTACTGCGTCCACAGCCTGGACACGGGGACCCTGATGTCACCTCCACAGGCTGTGGGAGCTGCCCCTGAGCCATTTATAGGACAACTGCCACCTTGGTTCCTGCTCTTTGTGCTCTCCCACTGGGACCAGCCACCTGAGCCAGCTTGGCTAACAGCAGATACAAGAACAGCTCCGTACTGAAGACTAACGGGCCGGGGGCCGGAGGGAGGGTGGGTACGTGGACAGGTCGGGGACGCAGAGCCCAGGGAATCGGGCTCCTGGAGTTCCCTATCGTCAAATTCCTGTTCTGAGCATCTGAATGCAGCCAGTGTGCTCCCGGGCATCTCAGGTCAGTGCTCTGCCAGTGCTAGGTGTTTCTATACGTCCCAAATAGAAGAGGCAGGAAGATGAAAAACTAGAATGCAATGAATTCTTTCTGACCAGCAGCGTATTGATTTTGTTTCCCATCTGCTCACTTGCCCTTGATTCTCTCCGACTCTCCAGTTGCTTAGCCCAGAGGAGGAGAGAGCAGCCGATCTCGCCATTTACCTCTTTTTAGTTCCAGGAGGAAGCAGTTGGCCAGCTTTCTCTGTGGATTCGTTTTATTGTTTCAGAAGGCCTGTCAGACATAATCTGATTTAATCCCTGAGAAGAAACAGCCGAAGCCATTTCCGTGTCTGCAGGGACGTTTGAGCCACCCGGAGGCTCCCATGTGCTCTCTCACAGTGGGGGACGTCCATAATAGTGTCAGTAATAAACAGCCTGTCCCCTCTAAACTTGGCATTCTGCTCATTCTTGTGGCTCTAGGTTTCCAGTGCTTCCTGCATGATGATTCTCTATTTTTTTACCTCCCAGTTCTGGTTATGGACCTAGCAGCATGTCCGTTGCAGATAGTAGACTGCGTTTCTTTCTAACTCCCTTACCTTTTTCATTCCTGAGCTCTCTGGTACTTCACGCATTGTGCTCGTAGAAGTTCAGCCCAGTGGCTTGCTTGGGGCCATGCCAGCCACCTGTAGTTAAGGGTGGCGTTTCAATCACGTCACACTGAAAGAAAACGAAGTTTGGGGGCCAGGGAGAAGCAGGGGGCCCACTTTCTTTCTCTGATCTCCAAATAGTTCACTGGAAGACTTTTCCAAACATAGGTACGTATGGAGTTTTTTGTTTGTTTGTTCGTTTTTGGTTAATCCTTTATCTGAGGATACATTTTCCGTTACCTTCTAGAGAGAGTGGAAGAGAGGGAGGGAGGGAGCGAGACAGAAACATCCATGTGTGAGAGAGAAACACTGATGTGAGAGGGAGACATCAATTGGTTGCCTCCCCCACACACCCTGACCAGGGCTGGGGATCGAACCTGCAACCCTTCCATGCAAGGGCCGATGCTCTAACCACTGAAGCACACTGGCCAGGGCTGTATAGAGTTTTTTGACAGCAAATACGCAGTGTCTTCCACACCAACAACTAATTATCTCGTTTTCTGGACACCAACTGGGTGCCCATCCATTCAATTTCACTCTGACACTACCTCCTGGAAAGCATCAGATCCCACCAGCTAAGGGATCTGCCCTCCACTTCAGATGCCACCTGCAAACAGGGGTGCCCGGCTACCCCCGCTCCCATCCAGCTGAGTTCAGATTCGGTTCCCTGCTGCCCCTCTCAGGGTTTCTGTGCCCCAACCGCCTCTTGTAAACAGGAATAGTAATTGGATGACACCCTGGATCATGGTGACCAAGGCCCACGCACAACACTGAGGAAGCAGATGGCCAGGATTCAGGCCCACAGGCAGGTGCCGCTCAGCTAGCGTATGAGGCAGCAGATGGGAGATGGGAAAGTGCTGGGAGGCATCCTGAAGCTTAGACGGGCTGAGTTTGACCAGTTGCTCTCACTTCCCCGCCTCCACAGGCTTCCAGAGACAGGGGAGATGGCTGTGCCCACCACTCCCACCTTCCAGGGCAGCTCTGGGAGCCCTAGGGCCCCCATCAGCATGGTGGTGACAGTGACGGGCTCGGTGATAATCAGTTCCCAACAGAGACAGTCACCCCAGGGTGAGATCTGAGATGGTGGAAAGGGAGGCACAGATGTTGGGTATGGAGGGGCTTATGCCAAGAACAAGGGAGAGAAAAGAAGGGAGGGCTGGAGAAACAGTGCAGAGACAGAGCATACTCGGGAGCACCAGTCCTGCTGAAAGTAAGACTCCAAGCCCCAAACAAGCCCTTAGAAAGTCCTAAGAAGTCCCCCCGCACGAAGTTGTTTCATGGAAATAAATAATCTACGTTTTTCCAGCCTGGTTCTTATTCCAGTGGAAATATTTTTGCAGAGCATCCTTATGGGAAACTTTGAAACCAAAACACATTTGGCTAGAAAACACCCACTTGTCAGGGAGGGGAGGGCTGGGGTATGCAGTGGATGGGATTTCAATGCTTCCGTTGGAATGTGGTGATGTTGACAGCAGGGTCTTAAATGCAATTTTTATGCTATTCATGGTCATTTTTGAAGGGATTATTTCATTCCCAGTTTCTTTATATTTTATAGACAGCAACTCAGTCATGTAAATAACTATCTGGGACTCTTTCTGGCTTTGAGCTTACCTGACAATCTTGTAGATCAGCATGAGTAGGCAAGGACACCAAGCTCTCCTGACGTTGTTGTCTGTGTCAGTCCTGGACAGATCACTACCTGCAGTGGAACACATCGGAGTACCCGGGCGTGAAGACTGTGCGCTTTCCGGACGGGCAGATCTGGAAGCCAGACATTCTTCTGTACAACAGGTGAGCCCCTCGGAAGGAAGGAGAAGGGATTGCCTCCTCGCGTACGCTTAACAATCAAGTGAGCCTGAGCATCTCGTGGATGTGCCTCATGCCTTATTTATAATTTGGACCATTGCTCCCCCAGGCTTTGTAAGTGGCATTTGAGAAGCGGCACTGTCCCCTCCCCAGTGACCTCTGCATTGGCCTGTAGCTCACGTCACCCAGCATGCTGCCTGGGATGGCCATGGCCATGGGCGGTGCATTACAGATGCGGAGATATTTTTGTGCATATTGGCACTGAGGCATTTTTCTCATGGGGTGTTATTTTGTCCCTGAGTGACAGCAGCTCGGCCACGGCAAGAGAAGTTTCTGGCCCACAGGAGATAGGATTGGAGTCCGCTGTTTGTGCATTTGGAGAGTTGTGTGAAAGGGTGCTGCGTGCTTGGGGACTGTCACCTCCAGCAGCCCTCAGAAACTTGTCTAGCAGCTGGCAGGAGCAAGGCAGGTAGTGGTCATGTTTAGTCCTCCTGAGGTCAAGAAGTGAGGGATTCATCTGTAATCCAAGGCCGTCTGGTTGGTAGACCAGATGCCACAAAGGTATCCAGGTCGGGTCACTTTCTAAAAGCACTAAAATTCTTTGCTAAACTGCACAGCAAATGCAGAGCTTCTTGTTGCAATATGGTCTAGAAAGTGATAAATAGCTAAATATTTTTTAAAAAGAGAGATTGCCACCCGGCTAGTGTGGCTCAGTGGTGGAGCATCCTCCTACGCACCACGAGGTCACCAGTCTGATTCCCAGTCAGGGCACAGGCCTGGGCTGCGGGCTCCATCCCCAGTGGGAGGCATGTGGGAGGCAGCTGATCAAAGACTCTCTCTCATCAATGTTTCTCTCTCTTTCTCTCCCTCTCCCTTCCTCTCTCTCTAAAAGCCAAAGGAAAAAATGTCCTCGGGAGGGTTAACAAACAAACAAAAAAATGTGCTCAATAAATACTTGTGCACAGATGAGATGGAGGGACGCAGGGACGGGGGAGCAGGAAGGGGACGTGTCCCTGTGATAACAGGAGAGCGGAAGGGAGAGGAGAGAAAGCCCGGTGGCAACCTGGAAACAGATAATGCGACTGAATCCAAAAATAGACACCGGAAGTCGAAAAACCAGCTTGAATTTAATGAGATCCTGACCTTCTGATATTCTGTTACTGAGATTTGGAGAAATGTTGAGCTTAATACTTTCTGCCAGCTTCCAGGCACTCGGTGCTGTGTTTTCTCTGTGGGCTCACTTGATGTCTCATTAACGTGGGGGGGGGGCTAAGGCGGGGACATGCCGTCATTCCACGTCAGCCGGGGCTTGGAAAGGAGCATCGGTGCGGGACAGCTGAAGCGTCCCATCCTGTCCATCACGGTCCTCACTCCATTCCAACTGGACACTGGAGGCCCAGCATGAGCCACTAATGGTTCTGGAGATGAGATACGTTTTCTGTGCTTTGAACAGGCTGGGACACTGCAGACCAGCCATCCTGCGTCGCAGCTGGGATGGGCTTTATTTCCCTGATGGATGGGGAGCGAGGCTGGGCACTGCCAGCCAGCTGGCCAGGCTGCTCGAGGAGAGGGCGGGCTCTGAGCAACTCGCCTGCCAGATGCTGAGCCCAGGAGTTTCGTGCTTGCCTCATCCTGCTTTACCTTAAGCCTGCGGTTCAAGGATTTTTCTGAACACAATTGCACTCCAAGTGAGCAGCGTTGGTGGATTGCTAGTCATGCCCCTCCTTGGATAGAAGGAAAGGCCTCGCTGGTATCAGTAGTCAGAAAGCCTGAGCCCAGGACATCTCAGCCACCCCTGTGCTGTGCAACTGCGGGCAGCTGCCTCAGCCTCTCTGGGCTTCTCTGTTCTTGTGCTGCTCAGTCAGAAAATCCTATAAGGACAATGTTTGTTGAACTTTGTTGATGGATGTATTTGAAGTTGCTTTTGTTGCGTCTGCAGGCTTCTGCGTGGCTCTGGGAGTGCAGCCCTCTGGCTACAGCCCTCTTTCTGTCACATGTTCCCATGACCCTCGCGCTGATGGCAGAGCCTGGGGAGAGGCTGATGCGTACAGTACGTACACAGGAGTGGTGGAATCCAGCCTGTGAGGGCTCATATTGTGCTCATCAGTGAATCACCAATGAAATAGAATTTATTTCCTTCCCAAGTGTCTTAGGCTCCCCCACAAGCTGGCCCAAGGCAAGGGCTTCAGTGCACATAGTTAATTAGGGAGAGGAAGTGAGACAGAGAAGGGCTGGAAGGAAGCCAATATTGAATACATTCAAAAATTCAAAAGCAAGCTACTTCCATGGGTCATGGGCCCATTCCCACGGCGACCCCTGGGCGTTTATCTGCCAGCCGCCTCTGTTGTGGGTTGAAAGCTGCTTCTGAGGGTGTCAGTTCTCTGGCACCACCTCTGCTCCCTGCCCTCTGGTGGACCAAGTCGACAGCTGTTGGGGCCTGGGGCCTGGGGCCTGGGAAGGACACTGTTGGTGTGTTCAGCTACAGCCCACGTGAGCCACACACTCAGTTCCCATCATTTCGCCTCATGCTGAAGACTCGATCCCAGCTCCTGGTGGGGAGCACAGCACTGAGGTGAGCGGTAGGGACAGCGTCCCGGGACCCAGGGGGTTTCTCAGCCAAGCAGGAGAGGCAGGCAGGGAGCAGAGGTAACAGAGCAGCCAGGACCTGCATCCTTCTGAGCGGTAACAACTCTGCCGTGGGCTGCGTGTGTTGTTACCATGGTATCGCATTGGTCCGCACATGCACTGGAATCCCTCAGGTCCCACGTGGCCACTGTTAATGGCTGCTCGGGATGTTCATCAGTTGGTATTTAAAGGCTCCTATCATCACAGCTGACCTGGGGGTGCCGTGGGGACAGGAGGCCATCACTGGAAATCAGTAGCTGCTCTTGGTCTGGCAGGAGATTCCTGGTCTGGCAGGAATCTCCAGTTGAGCAAAGGTCGTTGTGCAGCTTTGGACTTTAGAGAAGGTTCTAAGAAGTGCTGTTGCAGCATCTGCATTATCATATACTCAGACCTGCACGGAGGGAGGCTGTTTCTAAATCGGGTCGGTGGAAAGGAAGTGGACAGAAGCAAGTGGAGCCGGCCAGCCTGTGTTTGCATATCCAGAATTCTCCTCCGAGCTGTCCATCTGCACCTCCCTTCTCACCCCTGCCACTGCAGATTTTGGTTTTAATTCCTTCATTCACTCAACCAATATTTAAGGAAGGCTTATAGGCTGGTGTCACAGTGCTCTAGGATTCAAGGTCACAGGAACAGTTGAGCCAGACAAAAACCGTACCCTCCAGAAAATGGGACAGAGAGACAAGAGTATAGAAGAGGGGGACACCCACCAGATTATAGGGGCTCCAAGAAAAGTACAGCCGGTGGAGGGAGTATACAGGTGAGGCAGGTCGTCCAGGACCTGGAGTGGGGACTCGTCGGAAGGGGCCTGGAAGCAATCATTTTACATTTTTACCAGGATGTGGAAAGAACAGGCACTGCCACATCATTTATCATCCTAATGGAGCTGCTGGAGAGGACATGTGGCTGGCCCACCGAAGGCTTTGGTAGGGATTTACTGTGCTGGACATCATGGCGTTTGCTCGGTCCCAGCAGAGAGATAACAGTGCTGACATGTCGCCTGCCAGGTTCTTGCAGTGGCTTTGGCCACTTGTGTTTATAGGGACTCATTTCTCCTGTCTCAGAAAGCTGTGCTCAGGCTCCGTCTTTAGCAGCGGGGCCCTTTTTCAAACAAACCTCATCTCCAACCCTAACGGTCAAAACAGATAACGTGGCATTAGCACACATTACTGTAAGAATTTACTTTTATCTCATTTCTGTAATAAATTTCCCCTTGCCAAGGGGAAAGAACTGGGAACTGCCCTAATGAATATTAAGATTTGACTTTTGATGATGACAGGGGTACAGTTTCATTTATCTCAATTTTCTGCCTTGGTTGAACCGTGTTGAGAGATCACCGAGTCACACAGGTAAGCCGTTGCTAATGGCAACAGGTCTTTATCGAGTTTTTACCCATTTATCTTGTGATCTCAAGGGTCTCTTCAATTAAATTGATCCAATTGCATCCAGGAAGAGCTCGGAGGAATTTTTTATCCTCCCAGAATTGAATCACGGATCTAACAGATGCTCTCGGTCTTTGTTGTAAACATAAAACTCAGATGAGAAGAAATCCAAGCTTAAAATAAGCAAAAAGATACCTCCATGGCGTGCGTGGCCTCACACTCGGTGTTCTGCTGGTACAGTGGCAGGAACATGTGCTGAGCCAGATGCAGGCTCTGTGCTGAAATCCTAGGTGAAAGTGTAAACTTTCTAAAAGACCAAATGCAAAACTGCAGTCCTACTGGGTGACTCACTTCAAGAGGTGCAAATACATGCACTTTCATGGGAAGAGAAATTGATGTTTTTCTCTCCTTCTCTCTCAAATCAATAAAAAATTAAAACTTTTTTAAAAAGAAAAGATTTGTTTGGGCCCATGAGTGAGTTCCACCTTCTTTTTATCTCCTGCAGTTAAATCAGAGTTTCCCATTCCCTGATGTCCCCCCTAAATTGTCTTCAGGTTCATTTTTGCTGAGAACTTTGTTTTACACTCATATGAAAAAACACACACAGTTTATATGAAATAAGGGTGGATATTGGCCTCTTCGAGCCTGTCTCTGAGAAGGTATCCCAGGTCAGCTGCAAAATATGCTCTCAGACCAGTACCTGGGGCAGGGGGACAAACAGCAGCACCTCTCAAAGCTGCTGGGACCACAGTCATAGCAGACCTACGGGCATGGGGGGCAGTGCCAGCTCACGAAGTCTTTTTCCTGTTTCTAGTGCCGATGAGCGATTTGATGCCACCTTCCACACCAACGTGTTAGTGAATTCTTCCGGGCATTGCCAGTACCTCCCTCCAGGTAAGATCACTTCCTTGGTCGTCCTTGTTAGACAAGTTGTGTTTGGGGTGTCAGCCCTGATGCTGCTCCCAGGAGCTGTGGGCCCGTTCTGAGCCCTGGGCAGGTGCTGCTCTGCAGGCGCTGGGAGCGAGACTGTGAATGTGCTTAGCGACCCTCTTGAGCACAGGCATTGAGGAGCACTTACTTGCCTGTTAGACCCCCGATCAAGGGGCTTCAGCAGGAGCTCATTAGTGACATGGTTCTGAATGAGTGCTGCTCCTCTCTCTCAGCCAGACAGCAGTTAACCACTTCCTGGGACTGATTCTTTCCCCACCAGCCCATCACTTCTGTGGACTCACAGGGCCCTGGGCTGCTCAGCGACTGGGCCATGGGCTTTATGGTCTATGGATAGTAACAGGATTAAAAAGCCTTAGATGATTTTTTTGGATCTTTTCTAAGGGAGTCTTCTCCCAACCACAACTGATTAATTTTCTGCTCCCAGGCAATCTGCAACCACCCCAGCTCACCACCTCCATACACACACCCCCACACTCACACACACACATGCAGACACACATACACACTCACAGACACACACACATTCACACACACACTCAGACACACACTCCCATGCTCACACACACACTTTTCGAATCCCGGTTGTAAGTACATCATCTTTGTCAACTCCTCTGGGATTTTTGCATCCTTCACTTTCCTGTTACTGTTTAGAATCTGAAGATGTGCATGTGTGATGAGAGCATGAGGATTGCGGACCTTCTCGTTATTTGCCCAGGACTCCCTCAGCACGGTCTTCAGTAGAGCCTATGGTGCTGTCTTGAACTTGAAGACAGTGAGGCTTCAGATGAGCTCTTTTCTGGACACTTTTTCAAGCAAGATCCAGCTTGTTCTGGAAGGCTTAGCTGCAGTCTAGAGGGGCAGGAGGGACTCAAGTCCTCTCTGGTCACACTCAGTCAAGAGACCTTCATGCCTACATCGCCTCCTCTCGAAGGGGGGACCAGAAGGCCAGAAGAGTGTGTGCACAGTGCACCGATCAAAAAGACCTGCAGGCCCTGGGTGGTGTTCTTGGTGGTTAGAGCATCAGCCAGCACATCAGAGGGTCTCAGCTCCATTCCCGGTCAAGGGCACGTGCCCGGGCTGCAGGTTAGATCCCCAGCCCCGGTCAGGTTGTGTGGGGGAGGCAACTAATAGATGTGTCTCTCCCTCCCTCTCTCCCTCTCCCTCCCTCCTTTCCCCTCGCTCTAAAAATCAGTGGAAAAACATCCTTGGGTTAGGATTAACAACAACAAAGACACACAGGGCATCATGAAGAATGCGTTGTTTAACTCACCAACCCTTTACTGGGACGGCAAGCCTTTCACTCCCATGAAAGGTAGGCATCGCTTATTACGAACAGCATGTGAGGGTAGAGACCAAGGCATCTCTGTGTGTTTATTTTTAAGATTTTCCAGCTTTATTGAGATACAGCTGACAAATTGTAATATATCTAAAGTGTACAATGTGATGGCAATATACGTAAACACTGTGAAATGATATCAAGTATATACGCTATTACTGACTATAGTCACCGTATTGGACATGAAACCCTTAAACCTTACCCATCTCCCACCTGCAAGCCTGTGCCCTTTGACCAACCTCTGCCCCACCCTTCAGCCCTGGTAGCCACCATTTAGCTCTGTTTATGAGTTCAACTTTTTTTTTCTTCTTCAAACTATGTATAAGTGAGACCATATGGTATTTGTCTTTCTCTGTCTGGCTTATTTACTCAACATAATGCCCTCAAGGTTCATCCATGTTGCAAATCGCAGCATTTCCATCATTTTAAAGACTGAATAATATTACATGTAATCCATAAGTGTGATATATTATACATATATACATATATGTGTGTGTATTTTTATCCGTATATGCATCAGTAAACATTTAGGTTATTTCCATGTCTTGGCTACTGTGAACAATGCTGCAGTGAACATGGGGGTGCAGATACCTACTTGAGATAGTGCTTTTGCTTCCTTTGGATACATACCCAGAAGTGGGATTACTAGATCATACGGTAGTCCTATTTTTTATTTTTGAGGAACCTCCATGCTGTTTCCATAAAGGCTGCACCAGTTTACAATCCCACCAGCAGTGCAAGGCTGCTGTGTATTTGATGCACATCTCATCAGCTTCCATTCATTCTGACGGTGTCCGTCACGCATACAGGCATATTCAAGAGCTCCTGCTACATCGATGTGCGCTGGTTCCCTTTTGACGTGCAGCAGTGCAAGCTGAAGTTTGGATCCTGGTCCTACGGAGGCTGGTCCTTGGATCTGCAGATGCAGGAGGCGGATATCAGTGGCTACATCCCCAACGGAGAATGGGACCTCATGGGTAAGCCCAGCAGAGGTGTGACACTCGCTGCTAGAAGAAAGCTGCTCTATTCCTGGGCTTGCTTAAAACTGGGATTTTCCACTCTGCTTTCGGTATATTGATTGCACCCTGTGGCACCCTCCATGATTTATCGAGAGCTATAGGATTAGAAACAAAAGCAATTAGAAAATTCAGTGCTTCCTGTGGGGAACTTGGTAAGAAACATTTAAATGAGCCAGAGCTAGTGTGGGCATCCCTACATCACTCTGATCTCTGTTCCTAAAATCATGCTGGACAGCAAATTGCATTTATAATGGTGTAAAGTTTACAATGCATTATTTAGAATCATGGTGTCTTAGTCCACTCTGGCAGCTAGAACAGAATATGACAGACTGGGTGGCTTATTAACAACAGAAATCTGTTCCTCACAGTTCTGGAGCCTGGGAAGTCCAAGATCAAGGTGTTAGTAGATCTGGTGTCTGGTGAGGGAGGCCGGTTCATAGACAGCTGTCCTCTCTCTGTGTCCTCACGTGGCAGAAGGGGCCAGGGAGCTCTCTGGGGTCTGCTTTCAAGGACACTGGTCCCATTCATGAGGACTGCACCCTCGACCTGGTCATCTCCCAAAGGCCCCACCTCCTAACACCATCACATTGGGGGTTAGGTTTCAACATATGAATTTGGAGGGGACACACAGACATTCATGTAATTCCAATCCATGAAAGAAAAAACCTGCTCATTTGTCCAAATATCACTAAGATTCTCCTAAACAACTCTATGATAAACCAGGAAGTGTTCATTCAAACACTGATTACCCAGGTTTTTTTAGCACATAAACTGCATGGCTGTGCTTGGGTGTTAGACCCATTAAAATAAACAAGCAGGGTCATTTCATTTGAACTGTGGCTCCTTTCCTCCCCGCCCACATGGAGGAATCCCGGGCAAGCGCAGTGAGAAGTTCTATGAGTGCTGTAAGGAGCCCTACCCCGACGTCACCTTCACAGTGACCATCCGCCGCAGGACCCTCTACTACGGCCTCAACCTCCTCATCCCCTGCGTGCTCATCTCTGCCCTGGCCCTGCTGGTCTTCCTGCTCCCCGCAGACTCTGGAGAGAAAATCTCCCTCGGTAAGTGCAGGAGCCTTGAGGTGGGACGGGAGGGCTCCGCCTGGGGTCAGCACTATGGACAGCGCCAGGGCGTGTCGGGGCTCCTGGGCAGAGAGGTTACCAGGTCCACACACTGACCTAGCCCTGGACATCTCCCTGACACCACAGGCTCCAGAGGTCAGCTCTGTGCTGGATGCTACGCCCTCCTGAGGTACCGTGGCATCCTCTGGTCCTACACAGATGAGAGCACACAGGAAGGGGCCAGCTCTTCCCTGAGGGGCCTGGGTTTTCTCCCCTCCTGCCACCCAATTCTGCTTTTTGGGGGCAGCATGCAGTGTGTGCAGGGAATAATTTGGGTTAATCCAGTCTCAGCTTGCATTTGCAAGTTGCACTACTCAGTGTAGTTCCTTAGGGTCATCCAGCAGGAAGAAAATTCAAGATTTGGAATGGCTAAAGGCGCTCAGACTCTCAGAGCTGCTAAAGAGCATAGTTAGCACATGTAGAAGCCATTCTCAGGCCTGGATCTTCTGAACATTAGGCTGGGGCATGTTCAGTGACTTGTCCAAAGTCCCATAGCCGGGAAGCAGCAAAGGCTAGTCTTCAAACTGGCTGTTTTCTTTTTCCTGCCTAAGGAGACTACCTCTCAATACCAGTGTAATAAAGAAAATGGGAGATACCAGTGCTAACTTCAGCGATTTATTTAGTGTTGTTCTTCTAAAGTTCTGGCTCCTAAATGGGACTCCACCAGGGACATCTCTGGAATGCTGGTACATGGCATGACTGTCCCGAGAAATGCCCATCCCACAAATATGGAAAACCGAGCACTTGGTTTCAGGAATGTCTTAGACACACCTGCCCCTCCCTAGTTCTTTGAACCTCAGGTTAGGAGCCCCTGTGAGATGGAATTTTGAGGTCTCACAGTCAGTCTGTTTCAGGTGCCTTGTGTTTTTGTTTCAGGGATAACTGTTTTGCTCTCTCTCACCGTGTTCATGCTTCTGGTGGCCGAGATCATGCCTGCAACATCCGACTCAGTGCCCTTGATAGGTAAGGAGACGTGGGCTTAAAGCGTGCCTAGGATTTCCCAGTGCAGAGCAGAGCGTGTCCTCTGAGGCCATGGGGAGCTGCACCTCCCTCTGGTGTCTGCCGAGGAGATGGCTGCTGTGACTGTTCAGAGCGGCCCATGTCCTCTGCTCACCTGGGCACTAGCTTCGCAGTTTGGCTCTAAGCTGCAGACATGCCCCCTTCCTCCCTAATTCTCCCCCCTCATGCTTGCTGTGGAGCCAGAGATTTTATCATTAGAGATTCATTATTTTAGCTTGGATCATCATTTCCCTACAAATCATTTGTTAAAATGGGAAGGTCACACACTTTAATTCTTAGTCACTGTTTCCTGGGATAACTTGATGTCTCTGTATAAAGTTAAAGCATGTGAGGACATGTGAGCAGGACAGATATGTTCTGGCCAGGACAGATCTAAGCATGACCTTCTGCCCAGGGTCCCTACGTAGGTCACTGGGTAAGTCTGCTAGAGATGCCACAATAAAATTCCACAGAATGGGCGGCTTATACAACAGGAATGCATGCGCTCACAGTTCTGGGGGCTGGAGTCCAAGGTCAAGGTGTTGCCAGTGTGGCTTCTTCTGAGGCCTCTCTTCTTGGCCTGCAGATGGCCTCCCTCCTGCTATGTCCTCACATGGTCTTCTCTCTCTGTTTACATCACTGGTGTCTCTTTGTGGGTTCAAATCTCCCCTTCTTACAGGAAAACCAGTCAGATAGGATCAGGCCCCACTAACGACCTCATTTTAACTTAATCACCTATTTAAAGGCCCCATCTCCAAAGACAGTCACATTCTCGGGTACAGGGAGTTAGAGCTTCAATATTTAAACTTCAGGGGGACACAGTTCAGCCCATAGTAGTCGTGTTTGGTTCGTTCTCATTCCCCTTCTGGTCCGTGGTGCTAAGTTTCAGTCTCAAATGTCCACCTCCAGAAGCTCCTCCCAGGTACCTCTTGGTTTACTCCAGAGGCCAGTGAATTCCTTCCTGCCTGGAGGGCACCAGGTACTTTTAAACGGGAGTGTGGGCTGTACACTTGGCCTCTACGCCAAGATGCTTTCTGCTTATAACAGCCCCTTCAGCAGCTAGCCACACTCACGGTTCTGTAATCAGAGTTGCTGATCAAGGAATGCCTCCCCGTGCCAGCCTTTGACCTAGACCCCTGGCCCACAGGATTGCTAATTCCTGCACCAACCCTGCAAAGAAGGTGTTCCCATCCTGCTGTAGTGGTCAGTGACCTGAGGCCCCGAGAGGTCAAGTCGCTGTCCAGACTCACAGATGGAGCCAGGGGACCAGAGGGGAGCTCGTTCACACTCTCTGTGCTGCTGCTCGCCTGGGCCAAGGTGGAGACACGCATCCATGCCCATCAGAGCTGAGGCTGATGTTCTAGCCTGAAAAGTCACTGCAGCTCACTCACCTCTTTCTCAGGCTAGACACTGGCGCCCCCTAGTGTCTCTAGGAAGATGGGGCCAGACTCACGGTCCACACTAATTCCCTAGGTCTCCAGGCCTGGCCCCAGGTTTCTGGGCCCTACATTCTCACTATCCGGGTGTTTTCAGTTGCACTAATGGCCCATGGGCTTTCTCATGGGAACAACCTCGTCACCATCCTGCAAGGCGCTGTTAAGTCTCATTGGGGGAGGAGGCAGAGGTCACAGTCAAGGACAGGAAAGTGGGTCTTTGTACTGTGAGCTGGCTGGCCTCTGCCCGTGTGGGGTGGCCAGCAGGCCAGGAGGCAGCCCTGCTTTGCCCCTCACCGCCACAGCCCCTGACAGCCAGAGAACACGGTCTGGCCCCACTGCCCTGTGCCGGCGTCCGTGCGCCTTGGGGCGTGGAGCCGGGTCTCACCCTGCGCCTGTTCTCTCCCGCAGCCCAGTACTTCGCCAGCACCATGATCATCGTGGGCCTCTCCGTGGTCGTCACGGTGATTGTGCTGCAGTACCACCACCACGACCCTGACGGCGGCCAGATGCCCAAGTGGGTGCGTTCCTCCCGCCCTCCCTGCAGCGGGTCAGGGGCCCTCCCCAAAGGAGGCGCCATGAATGGGTGACTGGTCTAGTTTAAAAATTTCACCAACAGCTAGCATTCCTAAGACAAGACCTGTAATGTCCACAGTCTCCTCCTGGGGGACAGTGATGGAGGCAGCTCTCAGGGTCCCACGCTCTGTTCTTACAATCTGACACCCAGAGCAGGGCTCACACACTAACATCCCCGTGTATTTTGCTAGCACAGTGATTTTAAAACTTTTTGCATGTGTGCTACGGAGAGCTGTGCAGTGGTTGGACGCAACGCCAGATAAGCACGCAGCCACGTGGTTGAGTCTTCCAAACAGAAACAGGGAGCTGTATCCGTTCACTGCACAGAGGGATGCAGTGTAACTCAAAGCCTATAAAGTAAAGGTTACTAGTTCGCAGTGCAAGAGGGTAATGAAAGGAAATACATAAAAAGAAAGGATTGAATATAGTACCTTGTCCTCTTAGCCCGGGTCATGCCCACCTCTGCAGCGCCTCGCCTGCGGGGCACCGGGCAGTGTGCCATCTGCTGGTGTTTCCCACCCACGTTCTCTTCAGTCCTGTTTCCACAGCTCCACACCCACCCTCCCAGACACTCCCCCACACTCAGGAAACCTTGAGGAGAGCCAAGCAGGGCCTCGGCTTTCACCCCCTCACCTCGGTGTGACAAAACCCCAGGCAGCAGAGGGCTGTCTCCCCCTGCTGCTTACCTGGGCTCTGCAAACCTTCCAGTCTTCCTGTCCAGACGGAGGGGCCCAGGGACAGTTGGGAACTAAAGGAGCCCTCTCCTGTCAAAATGAGCCCGTCTTTAGACCCTGGCGCTCAAGTTCAAATGGGTGTCTAGGACTCACCAATGGGCTAAATGCAGTTACAGGATATAAGATGCATTTTGTTTAACCTCAGAACAGGGAGATCTGGACCTTCTAACAATATTTGTTGTGCGATAATTTACAGTTACACCAGGTTAACAGAGGAACAGCCACAATTTTTGATGATTTTGTAGCATGTATACTTTTAATCTTAGCAAAGCTTGAAAGCGCAGTAAGACTTTCCAGCATTATTTACAACAGCCAAGATATGGAAACAACCTAGATGCCCATCAACAGGTGAATGGATAAAGGAGTGGCACATCTATACAATGGAGTATTACTCAACCATAAAAAAGAATGAAGTCCTACCATTTGGGACGGCATGGATGAACCTAGAGGGTATTATGCTCAGTGAAGTAAGTCAGATGGAGAAAACAAAGACCACGTTTTACTCATATGGAACCTCAAAAAAATCGCTTTACTAAGTGACTGTGTCCCCTTGGAACCTTTTCCATGGCAAGTTCTTACCCTTAATAACAAGCCTCTCTCTCGCCTGATAGCATCAGCAGCAGAGTGAGTGGTGCTGCCTCACATACAGGCCACGTCGCCACGGCCTACGGGCTTGTTTGGAGAAAGTCCCCCCCATAAAAGCTGGGACACATTTGTGCACATTCACCTCCACTCTCGTGCGACTTCCTTATAACCCTGACACACTTTCCATCTGTCCATCTGTTATAAAAGTGAAACTATACGTAAAGAAATTCTGCCCCTCCTTCCACCATCAGCGCTGATAACCATTTCAGTGAATCCCTTCTTTTTCCTCCCAGTGTTTGTTTATGCAAAATCAACACATATTCTTATTTCTTACTTTTGGACAGATGTAAAAATAAGGGAATTAAGACATAAAAACACCCAACCGTTTTTAATGACCTACTGGTGCTTGACTGTTCCAGAAAAATCTTAATTAAGAGCCATAATTATTTGCCTCTCGGCACAAGAGCGCGTTCAAACCAATGGCTGCAAGTGAAGTATGAAGCTTGTCTCTCTCTCTCTCGTTTTGCACAGCAACTGCATTTTTTTTCCAAGTGTATTTGAAACATAAACAGCCTCCAAGGGGCTTTTATGATGATCTGTTGCTATGATGAAGATACTGCCTAGTGTGGTGGCATTATGTGACATTTGCACAGCCAGAAACAAAACTGTAACCTAAGAGGGGAGGTCACGAGCAGTTATCAAAGTGCCAAGAGGATAATTTCACTTCAGAGATGCTTTAGCCTTGAAAGCTAATGATTCAGGCCATGGAATTTAAAATCGACTTGGTGGTATGGATCTTTCTTGCCTGAGGTGTGCCCCCAGGAGATGCACAGGCCCCCCACGTGGCAGGAGAAGCTGCTGGCGCTACCTGGCTGCCTCTAGTTTGGATGCATTCGCGCCTGAGCTACCTCAAGCTCTGGTCCAGGCTTTCTGGTGCCTTCTGGGTGAGGGTGGGGCTGCAGGCACAGGGGTTTGGACAAGAACCCTGTAGAGGCTTTTGCAGATCAGGCCACAGAAGCCTACATATGTTAGGTCACTTAATCCCTATAAGACCCTAAACCAATGTACAAGCCTCTTTGAACCTCAGCTGCTTTACCTGTAAAATGAGGGCATATGCTGACTTGGCAGAGCCTTAAAAGGCCCCAGTGACATGGGATGTCTCATGAGCTCCATGTGGGGGGCCAGCATGGCCTGAAGATCTATATGGGACAGATGTCCCTTCTGTACATCATGGGAAGCCCTCAGGCGTCAGCAGCCAGGCCTCTCCAGGCTCCGGAGGTGATCTCGGAATGTGGGCAGGATACACAGAACGCCACCTGCTGTGACCAAGCGGTATCTTTACAGCTGCGGTGAAACTACTCTTTTCTTTTCATGGCCTGTCTCTAGGCTGGTCTACTGCACATTCTTTGATGTCCTAAAAATGACTGCCAGGGAAGTGCAGCAGACGTGAACCTCACAACCTACTGCCCATCCTTACAGATGGAAAACGTACCTGTTATGTCACGGATGGATTTGCCTGCAGTCAAACCAAAACGAAAACAAAATCAGTATCTGGATAATTTCAGAGAAACTGCCCACTTTTCAGGTTCTTGTATAAGTAGGCTGGCAAAAATGCTTTTCATTTCCTGGACTGAGGCTTCAGGAGGCTGCCTTCTTTCCACTAGAGGGGAAAACAAAATTTCTCTCCAGCGTCTTCTGTACGCATGAGCCATGCCTGATTATAAAGCACTTTCGATCGGAGGTCCGCAAACTAAGGTCCCAGTGGCCAAATCCAGCCCACCAAGTACTTTTACAGATGAAATTTTATTAGGAATCAGCACACCTGCTTTTTTATAAGCTGGTTGTGGCTGATTCTGCACCATGTCAGCAGAGCTGAGTAAAAACAGATCTCAGGGCCCACAAGCTAAAATACTTACTATGTGACCCTTTACAGAAAGGTTGACACGCCAGCTTCAGGCTTTTCAAAGTACTTCCATGCACATCCTCTTAGCCAGGCTTCCTTGCAGCCTAATGAGTTAGGGTAGAGGCTCCTGAACTCCCTTGGTTAATACACCTTTAGTGTCTGAGGGTATTTTTTCCCACAGAGCCCCTAGGGCAAAAGAAATACCTAATAGTTCTGTTTATTAAATATGTCAAAACAGCCCTGGCCGGGTGGCTCAGTTGCTTGGAGCATTGTTCTGTACACCAAAGGGTTTGATCCCTGGTCGAGGCACAAACGGGAGGCAACCAATTGATGTTTCTCTTGCACATGGATGTTTCTCTCTCTCCCTTTCTGAAATCAGTAGAAAATATATGTCAGAACAACTTAGTAAGCCTCAGCAACATAGCACCGGTTGGCACAGCACACCTCTCAATCTTGGGAGCACACCACCCCCACTTCCTGTTTCACATTGTTGACTTTCTCTGCACGTGCTTTTAGTTTTTATATATATTTAAATATACTTTTACTGATTTCAGAGAGAGGAAGGGAGAGGGAGAGAGAGAGAAACAATGATGAGAGTAATTGGTCAGCTGCCTCCCGCACGCCCCCTGCTGGGGGTCGAGCCTCCAACCCGAGCCTGTGCCCTGACCGGAATAGAACCGCGACCTCCTGGGTCCTAGGTCGATGCTCAACCGCTGAGCCGCACCAGCTGGGCCGCTACACCTGCTTTAAATTCAAAAACCTGCTTTGCCAAATGACACTGTAAGGGGTGTAGCGATCTGACATGACAGTCTGAACCGATTCAAGTTAGGGGATCAGTGGCGTCAGATCGGGATTGCTGGGGTGCCCTTGAAAATTAAAAATCTTCGGGGTGCCCCTGTGAGTTTGCTGTGGCGCCCGGGGAGTTAGGTACGACGGTCCCTGGTTACAGGTAAGGATCCGAGGGAGGCCACCGGCCCTGTCCACGCAGCTCGGGGCCCCTTTGCAGGCAGAAGCCGCAGGGCCGCCTTCCCTGAGGCCGCGGCGTGGGCGCCCAGAGAGGGCTCCGGCTGGTTCCCGGGCGACGCGGGGAGCAGGGCTGGTGCCGTGGGCCCCGCCCCGCC